GTCCCAAGTCTCAGCCTGGCTCCCAGGGTCTGCCTGGCGCAGGGTCCGCGGGGCGGGGTGGCGCGGGGAGCCTCCCGCACCCCGGTCACCACCTCCCGCCCGCAGAGACGTGGTCGCTGTCTCAAGGAACATGCAGAAAGAGAAGCTCAGCCTCCTGCGGCAGCTGGAGCTACTCAGGTTCGGTCCGGCTCCGGCCGCGAGAGGGAAGGGGCTGCAAGCTCCCAACACCCCTGACCACTGCCCGGCTTACTACAAGGAAGTCCTTCCTTGCGTCTGCCCTGCCTCCCTCACGCTGCGGCCCCGGCCGGGCAGCTCTCTCCTGGTCTGAGGGAGCCGCAGGGCCCACACTCCCCGCCCTAAAGCGCTGCCTCCTGAGACCTCTCAGAGTCCTTGGGCTCCCTTCCCCAGGGAACTGAACACGAGGCTGCGAGACGAAAGGGACGCCTGTGAGACCAAGCAGCTGGTCAGTGGCTCCAGGAAGGCTCTGGCCTCGGCCCACCTGCCAGGGCCCACCTGCCACTGCTGCTGCTGCTGCTGCAGCAACTGGGCTCGACCCCACAGACACGGGTCAGGCCACCTTCCCAGTGCCCGATGACCGGCCCCAAGTGACTCGCTGGGCGTCACCTGGAGAAACGGCCCTTTGAAAGGGACTCGCGGGCCGCCTGGCCTGCCTGCCTGCGAACATGAGGGAGCTAACGCCGGGCTGGTCAGGCTCCCCTCTGCCCCTCTTCCGGCCCTGGTCCCGTCCCATCCCGTCAAACCCATCTCTGTCCAGCAGAAAACCCCTCTCCTCCAAATAAACTCCACTGACTGCACTGCAGCCTCCTGGGCCTCCTGTGTGGGGGAGCCACAGGCATCAGGTGTCCGGGGTACATGTGGGCACAGGTGCTGGGGCTGTGGGTCCTTGTTTGTGCTGTGGGAGTCCCTGCATCTCTGGGAGGACCCCAAACCCTCACAGCCCATGAAAGCTTGACGTCCCGTGGGCTCTCGGTAGGAACAAGGAGACTGATGCCCGGCCACTGTCCCTCTGTCTGTCTCATCATGGAGCACCGGGCGGGGTGTCCTCCCAACCAGGACCCCACTGCCCATCTCTTTCCCCACGCCAGTACTCACACAGCTCTGGGTAAACCCCCGGAACCAGGCCAGTCCTGCCTGGAGCCTCCTGGAGCAGGCCTGGGCCACCTCCCATGCCCAGGGGACCTGCCTAGGGAGCCAGGAGCTGCCAGCTCAGCCAAGGGCGGGCTGGGAGGGGTGCTGCCCCGTCTGACTGTGTAGACTCAGACTCCGCCTGGGGCTGGGGCTGCGCCTGGTGGGTGGAGTGGGAGTCTCCCCTCCTTACTCCCACTCTCAGCTTCCCAGTCTAGTGGGTCAGCAGGACTTTCTCCCTCAAGCCTTCCGGCCCCTGCCAGGCCAGATGCCCTCCAGACTGGAGTACCTCTCACGGGGACTCTAGGCCTCCCCGCCAGGCCAGCATCTGCTGACCCCTGCAGCCTCGGGGTGTCCCTGGGTTGGGAGGAGAGAGAGGAGTTGGGTTCTGGAGGACAGTGGGGTCTTGGACAGAGTCCGGGGCCTTGCCTGGGCTGGCCGCCTCCCCCATCTCGCCCGCCCCTGGCCCATTTCCTCCGTCTCCCGAGGGTGTGTGCCCTGGCTGGGCTCTTGGGGCCCGCAGGCTGCGGCTCCTCCGGCCCGCACAGCCCGGGTAGGGGCCTTCGGCGCGGGCACTGTT